TTTTGTACCTACAAGAAAATAAATAACAGTTTCTTAGAGTGCGAGCATTCTTTAGTAAGGATGCCAAAAATCATAGCCGGAAATTGGTTAGATCATTTCTGCCGAAAAACGCGATTCTAAAACATAACCAACGCGCATATGAATAGGTTCGGGCCACCTTTTACCTAGAAGGAGGGCAGGCCATGCATTTGGGCCTTAAAGAAAACAGCTTATTTATTCACCAGAGTAGATTGCCAATTTCGTTTCTTTTTAATGTTCCGTATGATTGCTTACTGGAAGCAAAGTGTTCTTCAGTCATACCAGCTGAGAAGGGCCTTTTGCACGAAGTAGACTTTACTATCACGGGCTGTATACGTAAAAAAGAACCGTAAGAGGCACAACACAGGAAGCGCCAAACTAAATTTATTCGCTCCATAGCTAAAGTTCTGGCATATCCAAGGTGCAAACAACGAAAAATTTTTTTTCTAAAATTGCTACCCTAACACCTTATCAAAGAACAATAAAAACGAATGTATTGTTATTCATGGCTGGTGAATTTGTATGCGGCATTTATGTCGCCACTGGATTTTTCAATCAAGTGGTTTTAATGCTGCTGATACTTAAATTTAAGTTCAGAACATCTTGACACTTTTTCGCCTCGTTTAGCATTGACAGGTCGAAGATAACAGAAGGACACAAGAAGACATAGAAACTGAAACTAACAAACGACATGGACAACGACATGGACAACGAGCGTCTGACGATTATGAAGATGGAAATCTGGGTTTGTGTTCTTGGCTGGTTTGCCTCCATTCAAACGATGATTGGGAATGGATTTGTCATCTTTCTGGTGAGCAGTAAACGGCATCTCCGAACCAAAACCAACGCTTTTATTGTTTCTCTCGCAGTTGCAGACTTTCTTGTTGGGATGCAGGTTTTTCCTTCCATTTTTTTCTTAGAAGTAATCGGCCGCAGTGATCAAGGCTTGTATATCATCTTACTACGGTTGAGATGGCTCTTCCAGGATGCATCAGTTCTGAGTATGTGCAGTTTAGTTCTGGATCGTTACTTAGCCGTTGTGAAACCTTTAAAATACTTAACTTTTATGACTTCAAGACGTGTTATCCAACTTATTTCCTTCTCATGGGGGATCTCAGTAGCTGTTATTTTACTTCAGTCGTTTCTGTTGGTTAAGTTAAATGCATATGTTCTTTTTTCTTCTTTCAAAGTGCTGGTTATAATCATATTTTTCATCTTTCCATGTATGTTGATAATTTTTTGCTTTGCATCGATGTTACGGGTTATCTACAGGCAAAACGGAGCAGCTCGTGCATTGGGAAAACAGGTGCCTTCTAACAACCGACGAGAGAAGTCGGCATTAATAATGATGAGCATTGTCGTTGTCTTGTTCCTTGTTTATTGTGGCGTATATGTCCGCTGTCTCATAACATTTTGGACAGGTCATTGTAGTGAATATAACAAAAGTATAGTTATTATTGTAATTTTAAACTCCGCTGCAAACCCCTTGGCTTATGCTATTTTCAAAGGTGATATAAGGAAGGAGATCAAACGACTGATCTACAGAGCAACCTTCAGGCAAAGAAAACCGTTTTATTGCAGCTAATGTTTAAAAGTAACTCTTGATAACTGTTGTTTCTCCTTTTTGATTGAAATCTTCGTCTACGGAATGACTAGCTAGTCCACCTTTAGTATGAGCTCTTTTCTAAATTGTCGTGGTTTCACTGTAATGGTGGAATCTTCGGCAAAATGCAAAAATAGGTTTTAAAAATGCGTCAGTTTCGCCCCTACCATTTTCAAAGGGAAAATAGTCCATGCGACACATCATCATCATCATCATCCTTCGACTACTGACCAGAGTGCAACACGACAAAAATCCCAAAAATCACAATAATCCTAGCAATCACTTCAGGGTATGTTAGCTTACGTGAATGCACTCTACCCACTGGGCGCCAGAGGATGAGAAATTAGTCAGATTATTTCTTTGCCTCAGAGCAATGACCTTCAAGCTCGAGACGCTGGAGACACAGAGTTATCAGATAGCTATCAAAAGACGTTTTAGTGGTAATAAACTCGCTCTTTCTTGATTATTGACATAATGTGAGTTACTTACTTTTCGTGTCATGTTATGATCGCGACACTTATTGCTCGCTTCACTTTAATTTCGCGAATTTTTTTGCGAAATTCGCGAAATTAACTTGTGGCGAAAATTTCCGCAGTGTAATAACCTATGCACCAAGATCGGCATTAAAAAAACAAAGAGCGTAATACACCAAAAGACTGATTTCCTCTCTTCTCAATGCACCGTCACATTGCTTGCCTTCCTGCTGGGTAAACTCCATACCAGGTGTACAGAGCTCATTACAATAGTTAAGTAAAACTTATACTTTCCTTTCAAAGCTAGCCTGAGAATAAAGCCGGCGTTTCCCTTGTGGCGAGGAGCGAGAAGAGAGGAGAGACGGTTATATTCTCAGGTTAAACCCCAGCAAAACCCAGGGAAGTTATATAAACCTCCAACCTGCAAAAAACACAATTTGCAGCTGTGGGTATTTGCGTAATTTACACTTTTTACTTGTGCTCGCCCTCCGTTGAATCAGATTAACTAAAAATATTGCTTTCTAAGGGAAAATACAAAACAATCTTCTAATTGGTCCCGAATATGACTAAAGGGTGTCGT